TGTTGGTGCCATTTAGATGCACCCTCGGGGCAGATTTTCCAAAGAGCTCAGCACCCACAACTGGGTTCGATGTTCAGAAGAGCTCAGCTCCCAGCCCGGCCTCAGCCCAGTGAGTGATTTTGATCCTCAGCCATGGGGTAAATCCTCCCCCCAGCTCTCAGCTCTGGTGTCTGGCCCAGGCACTGCAGGGACTGTGGGGGAGGAGGGTAGGAGAGGATGGAGAAGGAACAATCCTTGTGTCCTCCAGGCTGCAGACACACTGTAGAGCTATTTCATGGAGGCCCCTGAATCCCACTTTCTGCAGCAGCCTCTACACCACCCCCATCTGCAGGAGGGAAACAGGGTCCATGGCATAGTGAAAACACTGCACCCACTATTGAGAATTTTCCCCTATCAGAGAGCATGGGGTGAGTTTGCACCACCTCACTAGGGCCAGGAACTGCCCCTCCTCTGCCATGTACAGGAGCTGCTGTGCTGAGACCCCCACCAGAGACACAGCCTGATCCTGCTGGCACCAAGCCTGTGTCATGGGGCAAGAAACCAGAACAGGTTCATACCCTCGTCCTGGAGTTTCACAGCTCCTTCATCCCTGGGAGCATTGCAGGGGGAAGGGCTCAGAGAGAGATAAAGCCAGACACCCACCTGCCACTCCGTGGTTTCCTTCTTCTCTTTAGATGTCAGCGCCAGGGCCTCCTCCAGCTTCTTCCTCAGAGGGCCCAGAACTCCCTGGAGTTTCTCCTGCAGGGACATCGCATGCAATAAACAGCTATTAGTCTGCCTGTCTGATGGGTGGAGAGTATCATAGAATCACAGAATCACAGGGTTGGTTATCTAGTTGGTTATCAGGAGGTTATCTAGTCCAACCCCCTGCTCAAAGCAGGACCAATCCCCAACTAAATCATGTCAGTCAGGGCTTTGTCAAGCCTGACCTTAAAAACCTCTAAGGAAGCAGATTCCACCACCTTCCTAGGTAACCCATTCCAGTGCTTCACCACCCTCCTAGTCAAATAGTGTTTCCTAATATCCAACCTAAACCTCCCCCACTGCAACTTGAGACCATTACTCCTTGTTCTGTCATCTGGTACCACTGAGAACAGTCTAGGTCCATCCTCTTTGGAACCCCCTTTCTGGTAGTTGCAAGCAGCTATCAAATCCCCCCTCATTCTTCTCTTCTGCAGACTAAATAATCCCAGTTCCCTCAGCCTCTCCTCATAAGTCATGTGCTCCAGCCCCCTAATCATTTTTGTTGCCCTCTGCTGGACTCTTTCCAATTTTTCCACATCCTTCTTGTAGTGTGGGGCTCAAAACTGGACACAGCACTCCAGGTGAAGCCTCACCAATGTCAAATAGAGGGGAAGGATCACGTCCCTCGATCTGCTGGCAATGCTCCTACTTATACAGCCCAAAATACCGTTAGCCTTCTTGACAACAAGGGCACACTGTTGACTCATATCCAGCTTCTCGTCCACTGTAACCCCTAGGTCCTTTTCTGCAGAACTGCTGCTTAGCCAGTCGGTCCCTAGTCTGCAGCAGTGTATGGGATTCTTCCATCCTAAGTGCAGGACTCTGCACTTCTCCTCGTTGAACCTCATCAGATTTCTTTTGGCCCAATCCTCTAATTTGTCTAGGCCCCTCTGTAACGTATCCCTACCCTCCAGTGTATCTACCACTCTACAGTTTAGTGTCATCTGCAAACTTGCGGAGGGTGCAATCCACGCCATCCTCCAGATCATTAATGAAGATAGTGAACAAAACTGGCCCCAGGACCAACCCGTGGGGCACTCTGCTTGATGCCGGCTGCCAACTACACATAGAGGCAATGATCACTACCCATTGAGCCGAATGATCTAGCCAGCTTTCTATCCACCTTATAGTCCATTTATCCAGCCCATGATTCTTTAACTTGCTGGCAAGAATACTGTGGGAGACCATATCAAAAGCTTTGCTAAAGTCAAGGAATAACACGTCCACTGCTTTCCCCTGATTTACAGAGCCAGTTTTCTCCTCATAGAAGGCAGTTAGGTTAGTCAGGCATGACTTGCCCTTCGTGAACCCATGCTGACTGTTCCTGATCACTCTCCTCTCCTCGAAGTGCTTCAAAATTGATTCCTTGAGGACCTACTCCATGATTTTTCCAGGGACTGAGGTGAGGCTGACTGCCCTGTAGTTCCCCGGATCCTCCTTCTTCCCTTTTTTAAAGATGGACACTACATTAGCCTTTTTCCAGTCATCCGGGACCTCCTTGATCGCTATGAGTTTTCAAAGATAATGGCCAATGGCTCTGCAATCGCATCCGCCAACTCCTTTATCACCCTCTGATGCAGTGCATCTGGCCCCATGGACTTGTGCTCATCCAGCTTTTCTAAATAATCCTGAACCACTTCTTTCTCCACAAAGGGCTGGTCACCTCTTCCCCATACTGTGCAATAGTCTGGGAGCTGACCTTGTTCGTGAAGACAGAGGCAAAAAAAGCATTGAGTACATTACCTTTTTCCATATCTCTGTCGCTAGGTTGCCTCCCTCATTCAGTAAGGAGCTCACACTTTCCCTGACCTTCTTCTTGTTGCTAACATACCTGTAGAAACCCTTCTTGTTACTCTTAACATCTCTTGCTAGCTGCAACTGCAATTGTGATTTGGCCTTTTTATACTCCTCCCTGGTCATTTGTTCAAGCTTCCACTTCTTGTAAGCTTCTTTTTTGTGTTTAAGATCAGCAAAGATTTCACTGTTAAGCCAAGCTGGTTGCCTGCCATATTTACTATTCTTTCTACACATTAGGATGGTTTGTTCCTGCAACCTCAATAAGGATTCTTTAAAATACAGCCAGCTCTCCTGGACTCCTTTCCCCCTCATATTATTCTCCCAGGGGATCCTGCCCATCAGTTCCCTGAGGGAGTCAAAGTCTGCTTTTCTGAAGTCCAAGGTCCATATTCTGCTGCTCTCCTTTCTTTCTTGTGTCAGGATCCTGAACTCGACCATCTCATGGTCACTGCCTCCCAAGTTCCCATCCACTTTTGCTTCCCCTACTAATTCTTTCCTGTTTGTGAGCAGCAGGTCAAGAAGAGCTCTGTCCCTAGTTGGTTCCTCCAGCACTTGGACCAAGAAATAGTCCCCTACATTTTCCAAAAACTTCCTGGATTGTCTATGCACTGCTGTATTGCTCTCCTAGCGGTTATTGGGGTGATTGAAGTCCCCCATGAGAACCAGGGCCTGTGATCTTGTAACTTCTGTTAGTTGCCAGAAGAAAGCCTCGTCCACCTCATCCCCCTGGTCTGGTGGTCTATAGCAGACTCCCACCATGACATCACCCTTGTTGCTCAAACTTCTAAACTTAATCCAGAGACTCTCAGGTTTTTCTGCAGTTTAATACTGGAGCTCTGAGCAGTCATACTCCTCTCTTACATACAATGCAACTCCTCCACCTTTTCTGCCCTGCCTGTCCTGCCTGAACAGTTTATACCCATCCATGACAGTACTCCAGTCATGTGAGTTATCCCACCAAGTCTCTGTTATTCCAATCACATCACAATTCCTTGACTGTGCCAGGACTTCCAGTTCTCTCTGCTTGTTTCCCAGGCTTCTTGCATTTGTGTACAGGCACTTAAGATAACTTGCTGATCATCCTACTTTCTCAGTATGAGGCAGGAGTCCTCCCCTCTTGCGCTCTCCTGCTCATGCTTCCTCTTGGTATCCCACTTCCCCACTTACCTCAGGGCTTTGGTCTCCTTCCCCCAGTGAACCTAGTTTAAAGCCCTCCTCAGTAGGTTAGCCAGCCTGCTGGCGAAGATGTTCTTCCCTCTTTTTGTTCGGTGGAGTCTGTCTCTGCCTAGCAATCCTTCTTCTTGGAACACCATCCCATGGTCGAAGAATCCAAAGCCTTCTCTCTGACACCACCTGCGTAGCCATTCATTGACTTTCACTATTCGATGGTCTCTACCCCGGCCTTTTCCTTCCACAGGGAGGATGGACGAGAACACCACTTGCACCTCAAACTCCTTTATCCTTCTTCCCATAGCCACGTAGTCTGCAGTGATCCACTCAAGGTCATTCTTGGCAGCATCATTGGTGCCAGTGTACCATAGATATCGTCCTTTCATACACAAGCAGTAAAATACCCTGGAAGGAGGCAACACACTCAGCTCTGCCGGCCCCAAAGGCAGCATGGGAGCGGAGATGCCAGTCTCAGAGCAGGAACGCTCTGCATCATGCAGACACTCAGGACTTCTCAGAGCCTGTGTTTTAGCTGAAGTTTCACACCATTGAGCACAGGCCAGAGGCGAAGTAGCTGGGAAGGTTCTGAATGATCCCTCCAGCTTGTGAGAGCGAGGAGCTTAGGACGGTGCATCACTGCACTGTGCCCCACGCCCAGGCCCAGGCCAGGAACAAGACCCCACTGTGCTCTCGTCTGTCTGTCCAGGCTCCCATGTGGCCTCCCTCAGGCAGCAGCTGAGAGCCTGACACCAGCGCCATCCCATTAACTGTACAGGGTGAAGCTGTGATGTGGCTGGGGATCAGTGAGGAACAGGGAAAACACTCGGTCTGGGGGAATGTGCCACCCATAATTATAACTGCTCAGAGCTGTAATAACCCAGGGCTCTCTTCCCCTTTGACAGCGTGTGATTCCTTCACCTGGCTCAGCGACATGCTCCTGCTCTGTCAGCCTGGCTCTGTGCAGCACCCAGGGCAGCCCCCCAGAGCCCCCTCCTGAGCTCCGTGCAGAGATCTCCCCATTACACTCTCTTTTCTCTGGGCCCTCGAGTTCTCTCCTCCTCTCTGCCCAAGGGCCCAGGCTGCTGCTGCAGCTGCTGCTGAGAGCTCCTGGGGAGCTGTTCGGTGACACTCCTGCGGTGCTGCTGCAGGGACGCACTAAGTGAGGGAGCCAGCAGGGGCTAGTGAGAAACAGAAGGAGAAGCAGCCTTGGCACCCATCAAAACAGCTTCATAAATGAGGAGGAATCGGACTGGGGGAGAGGGCAGAGGGACAAAGGTGGCTGGATTCTTTGAAGCTCCGCCCATGTGAGTCACCAAAAGGAGACAGCATGGTCTGTTCACAGGAGATGGTGCAATGTTCAAAATAGGGTGACGTTACTGATTGGCTCCAAGGGGTTCCTTGGACCGAGCTCCCCACATGGGGCTAGAATATACCTCTGGGCTCGGACCTTCTTTACTGGGGAAAAAATAAGAGGTGGCATCTTCCAAACATTACCCGCCTGTGGCACCGGACGGAGGCGTCACTGGCAGTATGTGGTGCTGGGCTGTAACTCTCCCTCTCTGCTCTCACAAGGTGAATGAAATTGTTAACAATGCTGATATTTAAAGGATCATCCCCAGGCACCTGAGCCCACCCCCACTCAGGGACTGGGGCAGTTCACACATCTCCGAGCTGCTGTGCCCAGCTCTCTGCATCCCTACATGTGGGTCAGTTTTGAGGTTTTCTTCACAACAAGAACAGCTGGAGAGTCAGTTTAACACAAAGTGAAGCTGAGATCCTGGAGAACAAGGCAGTCACAGAGAAGTGCCAGTACTTCCTGGCTGTTTCTGAGCCCTGTCAGTGAAAGTAGACACCAGGACTTACCAGTGCTCCCTGCACCAGGCCCGGAATCCTTAACAGGGCGGGTGGCTCTGCCCCCCCGGAAGGGGTGAGGCCTTGGGGCAGAAGGGCCAAGGGGGCTCCGCTTCCCACCACTGGTGAGTGTGGGGAGGTTCCATTCCTTCCCCCAACCCCCTCCCCTAAGCAAAACGGTTGGGGCTGGGTTGCTCCGCTTCCCGCCGGCTGCGGTGAGTGCGGGGGCGCACCCAACTCCTGCTGCCAGCCGGCGCCAGGCCCCCTGCTAATCCCTGAGGCTACACTGGGCCCCACGGGGCCCCCCAAAGCTGGGGCCCAGGGCAGCAGCCCCTTTTGCTCCCCCCTGTCGACGGACCTGCTGGTAGGATCCGGCAGCACTGCGGTGGCAGCGTTTTAACCTCGCTAGTGCAGCCGTGCTGCTGGAACCTACCAGCAGAGCCGCTGACGGGGGAGCAAAATGTCAGCTGTGTGTGGGCCGGGCTGGCGGCTGACTCTTGCCAGAGCACTTCTCCGGCCCGCACCAGCCCACTTTCACCTCTGCAAAGCGCCCTGGCAGCCAGTTTTCACAGTGCGATCGCTACTAACCGTGCTGCGTCTGTGGATGTAAGAGCTGCTAGTGTGAATGTGCTCTGCCTGCACAAGGAGCTAGTGTGCACATGCAACAGCGGCTTTAATCAAAGTGACATAACTTTTGCCAACAAAACTTCGTAGTGTAGACAAAGCCTAAGAGCTGACAATCACTAAGAGCAGGGTAGAACCTCAAGAGACTGATCTGTAGAGCTATAGTAGAGAAGCAGGTAACAGCTGGTGGAGCAGCCGGTGGAGTGGACCAGTTGGGTATATGGCAGGGTGGTGACACACAGGTGACACAGAGGAGCAAGCAAGGTGCCTTCTTACTCCCCTCCACCAGGTGTACCTCTGAGTCTTGACTAACCTGGGACAACCACTGTGAGTGGGGTGTGGTGAGGGACTTGTTAAAGGAACTTTTGGTTGTAGAACTAAAAAACCTGAGGCAGAAGACACTGCTCATCACACTCTGGGGTGGGTGTTTTGCTCACGGTTTTATGTTCATGAATCCTGCTTGCAGCATTTTCCTTAATTAATGCCAGGTGACATCCCCCCTCTCATTTAAAGTTTCTTTTCTATGATAGGCACCAACTCTGTGGGTGCTCCAGGGCTAAAGCCACCAAGGGGAAAAAAGAGTGATCAGCTCCTCCCCCTTCCTCCCAGTGCCCCCTGCCCACCGTGGATCAGCTATACAGCCGTGTGCAGGAGGCATTGGGGAGAGAGGGCAGAGCAAGGGCAGGGTACGCTCAGGTGAGGGGGAGAATAGGGCAGGAAGAGGTGGGGTGAGGGTGGGGTCTCGGGGGAAGGGATGGAGTGAGGGCGGGGCCTGTGCAGAACAGGGCTTAAGCACCCCTGGGGAAACGAGGAAGCCAGCACCTGTGTTTTCTACACTCAGACTCTGTGCTTTAGAGAGGGGAAGTATTGCCTCTCAGAGGCGCGCAGGGTGGGATGTGATTTGCCCAGGTTACTGGGTGGGGGCTCGAGCTGGTTCTGTGTTGTAATGCTGAAAAGGAACCCCTAGATATTGAACCCAGCCCTTCTTGCTGCCCACTCCACCTGGCAGATGGGTTACAGGTGCACGAAGAGCCATCAGCCCTGTTCTCTCTATCAAGCACTGAAACTTGCAGTGTTGGGGCAAAAAAGTCTGGATCTTTTTCCATTACCCAGAACCCCCAGTGCTCACCCCTCTGAAAACCAGGCCCCTTTAGTTTAGCTGCCTAACCTTTAGGCAGCCAGGTGTAAAAGATTGTCCTTGGATTGAGAGGACAATAAACCTGGTGTCCTTAAGGGATTTAATTAAGCAAAGTCAACAGCATTTCCTACCTTGTACTCCTGGGCAGCCTCCTCTATGGGAACCACTGTGTGAGACTTGTGGTCCCGGGATTTCTCACACACCCAGCAAATGGTTTCTCCATCCTCCTCACAGAAGAGTTTGAGACGTTCCTCGTGTCTCTCACACAGTTTCTCCTTTTGCCCTTTTCCTGGTTTTAACCCCAGTTGTTTGAGCTTTTGTACAATGTTGTTCAGCTGGGTGTTGGGCCTGAACTCCCCTTTCTGGAACTGGGCTCTGCACTGGGGACAGGTCAGGGGTGGTCCCATTCCCTTTTCCGCACAGTACTGGGTGATGCAGGCTCGGCAGAAGTTGTGCCCACACACTATAGTCACCGGCTCTGTCAGATACCCCAGGCAGATGGAGCAAATAGCATCATCTTTTATGTCCCCTGCTGTAGCTGGAGAGGCCATCGCAGCTGGGTGGGTGTCTGTTCTCTCTGCCCTTTGCAGGCAACCAACCACACCCCCAGGCAACCCGAAAGCAAAAGGAAAAAATCAACGGCAAGCAGCCTTTTAAAGCTTCTTTTAGCAGATTGTGCAACCGGGAGCCAATCATGCGCTCCGGCAGGATATTCTAACCCAAAAAAAAAAAAATAGGAAGAAGCCACA